CCTGTGTTTAAATAACACTCAATTAGGATCAACACTCATCTATTATTAATGCTGTTCTAATGCACAATTTCTTATCTGCATTTTATCTTCCAGCTACATCGCCATCAAGGACGCGCGCGGCACAGATCTGAGCAAGGAGACCTTGATTAATCCGTACTTTGAAATACTCCCGGTATTTCCTCTGTCTGCCACGACTTGTTCTATTAGTAACTTCAGTCTGATTTACCGCGGCTGCCGCAGGTAGCAGGAGGGCGCCGCGCGCAGCCTCCGCGTTCCCCGTCACTAAGCGCGTTCCGTATATTTACATTATTAAGGCGTTATTTAGTGGCCCGTTCCTCCCCGCGCGGCGGGCGGCCCCGGCAGCACCGCGCGCCGCAGCGGGAGCCCCGACGCTCCGACCGCACCGCTCACGTTCCTCTGCTCGCAGGAGCTGCTGACCCTTCCAGAACAGCTACCCAACGTGTCCTACCCGCTCTGCCCCCCAAGAAACCCTCTCGCACATCCTCGCTGTGCTCCAGGAGGGCAGACGGGGAGGACGCGGCTCCCTCCTGACATTAGCGCAAGCAGGGGGACAACGGGCAGGGCAGATGGTCCCCAACAGGCGCCCGCCGCCTGTCACCGCTCTGCGCGCTCGGAGCCCGCATCCAGGGTTTATTTTTATAGAGGCAGCTCGCTTGATGCATGTTCTTCATAACTTATTTTTAATTAGAGGAGCTGTGGGCATTTCCTGGCTAACAGCAGAAGATTAAAGTTGGGAAGAAAGGGGAAAAAAACATAACCTGCACACAAAATTAAACTGATTTTATAAACCGTATTAGTCTTATCTCCTTACTGCATCTGGGCTCACAGCAGGGGAATCATAACACACGTGTAAATAAGGAGAAATAAAGGAGTGCCGAAGGTAATTAGAGGAGCTGTGGGCATTTCCTGGCTAACAGCAGAAGATTAAAGTTGGGAAGAAAGGGGAAAAAAACATAACCTGCACACAAAATTAAACTGATTTTATAAACCGTATTAGTCTTATCTCCTTACTGCATCTGGGCTCACAGCAGGGGAATCATAACACACGTGTAAATAAGGAGAAATAAAGGAGTGCCGAAGGCGGCCGGCACCCCACGGCGCTGCAGCCAACAGGCCAAGCTCGTGCCCTAGAGCCCATCTAAGCCTGACGGGGACCCCATCAAAGAGGAGCCCACCGTCCCTGAGCGCCGAGCAGGCGGCCTCTTACCAAGCACGCTGGAGCTTTTATTGCATGGCTCGTAGCGAATTGCATTTGCCTTTTAAGAATATATGGTATTTAGTTTTTAATTAAGCCCTGGTCTTTGCATAAAGAAAAGCACGGGCCTTGAGGTTTCGATTGTCATTTTAAACAAAAGCAAAATAGTAAATGCATTTACATGCAACACCATTAGATATAATTAAGCACTGGGTAAAGCGCGCGCCGTGCTATAAACGTCATTTAGTTTTACAGTTAAACTCATCAGCGTTTATCAAAACAGTGCCTGGAGAAGGCGGCGGCAGCTGCAGCGAGCGCCCGGCGCGTGCGCGGGGACGGGGACGGGGACGGGGACACCGCGCTGCCTGCAGCCCTGCTGCCCTCCCTCCGCCGGGAACGGGGAAACGCGCAGGGGGTTCCCTGGATTCGGGGAGCGCGGCTCCTCCGCGGTATCCACTGCGTTTTGGAGCTAGAAACACCAAGCACGACTCGCTGCGGGCGTTTTCCTAACAGGTCACTGAAATTACAGCCGGGCTCCAACTGGCTTTTAAAAGCCGCTTTCAAAGTTAAAAACAGCTTTTGTGGAAATGCCGCTTGGGAAGCCGCCCGAGCGGCATTCGCTCCAAACACGGGGGCGGCAGCGTTTGCTTGGGAAGCTCTCGGAGCTGCCCACGCGGCCCAAGGAGAACGCGGACCGGACAGGACGGAAAACCGCCTTGGAAACATCGCTGCAGCGGCCTGGGCAGCTCGTCCTGCTGTCACCGGCCTGCACAGGGATGGG